ACCGTCACAAAGTTCCCCTAATACAAAAATTTCACATACACCTCTTGTTCCTCCATCATCACTAACATATTTGTATGTGTCAAACGATTATTGATATAGGGCCGACTCATAGCTCACATAGCATTAGAGAAAAAATCAAACAATCATCCGGTGTCTTAGGAGAAGCAAGCAAGGTGGCAAGTGAGCAGGGCATGAAATAATTACATTTTTTAATCTCTTTTTTTTTTTTGTTTTTTTTTGTTTTGTCGTGGCGTATGGCGTTTCGTTCGTTCAGATATGCCGGTACTGGTGCTGTTGTTGTATTGGTTGGAATTGGCATGCATTTATTTTTTTTTGTGGTCCTTTTTTTTTTTTTTTTTTCTCTCTCTCTCTCTCTCTCTCTCTCTCTCTCTCTCTCTCTCTCTCTCTCTCTCTCTCTCTCTCTCTCTCTCTCTCTCTCTGTCTCCTCTCTCTCACTCTCATTCACTCTCATTCACTCTCATTCACTCTCATTCACTCTCATTCACTCTCTCTCTCTCTCTCTCTCTCTCTCTCTCTCTCTCTCTCTCTCTCTCTCTCTCTCTCTCTCTCTCTCTCCCTCTCCCTCTCCCTCTCCCTCTCCCTTTCCCTCTCTCTCTCTCTCTCTCTCTCTCTCTCTCTCTCTCTCTCTCTCTCTCTCTCTCTCTCTCTCTCTCTCTCTCTCTCTCTCTCTCTCTCACTCATTTTTGGGAATCTGGCTTAATTGAGAGTGGGGAACCGTTGTTTATTTGTTTTATGTAAAGCATTGTGTCGAAAGTAAAAAGAAAAAAGAAAAGAAAAAAAAAGTCAATATCATGAAACATTCACATGAAGTCGTTCACTGTGTCAGTCATATCTGTGTCACGAAGAGATGTGTAGGATTTGAAACATCGTAATGAATGATAAGTTCACGGTGGCCTCATCTGCTTTGTAGCGTCGAAGTTGAGTTTATTCTTGTGGCAATATTGTTAAATCTGACCAATGTGTTTGCCATTATTTCATGCCCTGTACCAAATGTCAGTGTTGATAGAGCAAATCTTGGCATAGTCTTTTTTTTTTTTTCTTTTTCTTTTCTTTATTATTCATCCTCTGAATACCATAAGCAAAAGATATAAAATAATAATTTTGTATGCTGAAATTTGTTCTGTTCTTTTGTTGTTTCTTTTATTTTTGTGGGTTATAAGTTGTCCTATCATTTTTCTCCTTTCATCTGTTATTACATATGCAAATGTTAACTTATTATCATAATGAATTTTCACTCTTTGATATTCAGGTTTTAGAATATCAATTCATTTTGGGTTCCATTGAATTTCCATGTTTGCATTTCTGAACATCCAAATAGTCGAAATATTCATCATTGATATGTTTTAAGTAAGTGCAAAAATGCAGTTCATGTCTACCTCACACGTTGCTGAGCGTGCCAAGTAATTTGGTGTAATGGGTGCGTTTTCTTCCTCTTCTTTCTTCTTCTTCCTCTTCCTCTTCCTCTTCCTCTTCCTCTTTCTCCTCTTCTTCTTTCTCCTCTTCTTCTTCTTCTTCTTCTTCTTCTTCTTCTTCACATGGAAGGCTATAATTTTTCTCAAACAAATTATAGAATACTTTTTTAAATGAATGAAGGCTGTAATAAATATCAACAACAATTGATTTGATTAAAAAAACTACAGACAACCACAAAAAAAAAATATTGTAATACAGTATAAGACCCTTTAAAAGAAGAAAGAAGAAGAAAGAAGACATTTCATAAATATATATTCAGCTTTCTATTCCTTTGCTCATTCCATCGGTAGTGTTTTCGCCAAGGCTGGTCACAAAACTACGCAATTGTACTTGTCCCAAACACACTCTCCAAATACATTAGGCTACTCTTTTTTTTTTTTTTTTTCTATATTTCCCCATCCACTTCAATGAAACTAGGACACTAAACCCCCATTAATTGAATGTGGCACACGATTGGTCAGACTTGGCATTTGGGCATTTACTTAGGGCACCGACTGTGTTCGTTTATCCACTTCAGAATGCGTTGTGTCTCCAGCAAAGAGGAGTGGTGGCTATTATTTAATTATTTTTCCCCGCTGTAACGACGACACGTGCATATCTTTTCCCCTCTGTTCCCATTGCTTGATTAAGTTTGTTTAGTATAAAACTCAAAATCTTTACGTTTATGTCTTGGGGTCTTGTGGCATATATGCATCTTTATATTTATGTGATTTATTTTGTGAATGTGAAGGTTTTTTTTCTCTAGCTGTTACGTGGAAAAGTTTAAAAAGAAAAGTATAAAATGTTTTGTTGAATTGTGTTTGTGTTTATTGTTTAAATCTTTATTTCATTTGTTTTACATAATATTGATAATGATAATATCTTAGAGTAATAATCATTGGTGAAAAAAAGCTATGTATCAAAAGATTACTTTGCTTTATATAGAATGTCAATTGAGAATGTTCAATCCCTTTTTTTTTTGCATATTTATTAGGCCTCTGAGCTGCTAATACCATTTGCCAAAAATTCCAAAGAAACAGCTTGGTTCTAATAGTGCTTACTGTTAAACCGTACAAGAGCAATCAAGGTATCTGTTAACAAGTCTAGTGGAGAGCTGATGTATAGAGTGTACATTCTCGGCTTGCGCAGTTTGTGTTTCCTTTTCTGTATTTTTTTTTTTTCTTATTTTTCTGTTTTTGTTTGCTCCTTGAAATCTGGTCAGGCAACCTTTTAAGAAGTACTTCTAACATGGAATAGTGAATGAAGTTTTGGCACATTGACATCGTATTGCTACAGGATTGTAAATATTAGGCATGATCTCAAGACGACAGAGTGACTATATAGAGATAGACATTCAGAAATGGAAGCATATGATTTAAATTATTCTTTTATCTTATTTTTAGTGATTATTAGATTTTTATTTTATTTATTTATTTATTTTTTTTCTTCCCTCATATTACAAATTGATTATCAGTATGCATGTGTATCAAGAAGACCTCTGTGTCTCCAAGGATACTAAAACTTGAAGGAATCAGGAACAACTCGCCCCCCCCCTCCCCCCCTCCCCTTGTCTGCTGCCAAGAGACTGATAGCAGTTTGAAGTTTGTGAGACATCATGTGCTTATTTATAGTTATTTGTCCATTTAGTTTTTCTCCTTTTTTTTTTTTTAACATCAAGGGAAATTTTGGTGTATGTGCCATTGTTGTGAGAATGCTGTAATTGGGTATTGCTTTAACTTACCAAGACATCCCACTATCAGTTTTTAAGTGTTGAATTAATCTCAGTGAATTACCATAAACTTGATACCTATTATGGTTTGCAATGTAGAGAGCAATAGGTATTAGGCTTTGTATGTTAAGTTCTTTGTGATATTCTCATGTTTGTAATATTGTGTACCATGAAATGAAGAAAAATGGAAAAAAGTACACAAAAAGCAGAGAGTGCTTGCTGTGTTGTGGATCGTCTTACAAGGATCTATTTTACAATTAGTTATGTGCTTCAATTATAGAGGATATCCTATTTCCAGTGTATTGTGTGGAGTCAGAAGTACTTTTTGAATGTGAAAGAGCGACTAGGGTACTACTAGATGTAAACTAAAGAACAAAATATTCTCATCATGTTCCCTATATTTTCTTCTTTTTTTCCACCTATGGCTGGGTCAGTGTCTATGGTGTTAAAGAGATTTATTGCAGTTGTGGCATCCACATTCCTTTTCTCTTAAAATGGAAAATGTCCAGTATTGATGCTATAGATATGTAATGAAATGTCTGCACCAAAGTGATGTTTTGAATGACTAACCTGCAACCCTTTGCAGTTGCTTATTATATTTATGGGTAATACACAGAGTTGAACTGAAATATTTTGTAATAACTTCAAGTATATTTATATAGCATGCAGAATTGTGCAGGCTCTATGTAAAAAGTGGAAAGTGTTCATCTGGTACATTATAAATGACAGAAACAAGTGTTATATTTCTATTCATGTATCTTTCTTGTTGCACTATTTTCCTGAGATTATGCTATGATTTACAGATTTGCCAAATTTTCCAAATATGTCACTCGGAAGCTTCCAGTCCTGATTGTATGTAGGAAAATTAGTTTTCCAATATTGCATTTAGTTGAACAGAAGGGTTAATAGGAAACATTATACCCTAGAGACTGATGTGTAGTCAAATTTATTTTTTAAAATTAAAATTTCTCTTTGTGTTATAATATACTCGATACACAATGTGTGTGATGTTTTTGTGCTCTTTACCACAGCAATTAATCAATATTATATACTAAATGAAATCCACGATTCCACGAAGACAGAAGGATAGTACTAATGATGCATTGTATCATCAAGGGAGAGTGAAAATATAAGTGTAATGGAACTTAAAAGTCATATTGCAGTGGTGCTTAGAACCCACTATAATTTTTGAACAAGGATACTAGTTATGACTATATCTTTTTTTTTTTTTTTTTTGGCTTGATTAAAGGGAAAGAATCTGTAAGTATATGTAAGTAAAATGAATTTGTAAATGATAATACCTACGCGGTTTAACGTCTTAAGCGGCTAAGCAAATTCAATATACATCTGAAGATATCCTTGTACGAGACTTGAAAACTGGGCTATAGTGTAGCAAATGTTGTACTACCCACAAGTGACACCAGTGACATTTTCAGCAAAAGTGTGCTGCATCATATGTTGTAGTTTGTTAATTTAGACAAATAAATACACTCTAACTAACATGGAATTTCTTCCCCTTTATGTGCACACCCCAGGCTTCATATGTTTCTGTCTGGAAGAGGGAGGGACAGGGATAGGAAAGGAGAAAGAGAAAGAAAGAAGGGGAGGGAGGGGAGGGGAGGGGAGAGGGGGAGAGGAGAGAGGAGAGAGGAGAGAGGAGAGAGGAGAGAGGAGAGAGGAGAGAGAGAGAGAGAGAGGAGAGAGGAGAGAGGAGAGAGAGAGAGAGAGAGAGAGAGAGAGTGTTTTGGAATAATTATCTTAGTGATCGGTCAAGAATATTAGGTTATTACTTTTCACA